GTAGGTTTTTTGATCTAGGCCAGTTGTTATTAATTTCAAATGTTTAAAATTAGTAGAAAAAACAGGAGAGAAACTCAAACACGTGTTCCCACTAAAAATGACGTTTATATTAATAACAATTAATATTGGATTAAAATATCCATTTTCAAAATTAACTATTTATCTGTGTGTATGTATGCATATCTGTATGTATGTACGTATTTATGTAAGTACGTACGTATCTAAGTATGCATATATGTTTGTGTGTTCCGGTATATTATAATACTTACATTACCTATGTGTTATTATAGCAGTCACAATACATGTAATATAGGCGCCATCACAGAAATGCGATACTTAAAGATTAAAATTAATTTTTAAATATGAAAAATTTTTCTTGAAGTTTTTATTTTAGTTTTAATTTCATGTCAATAAATTAAATTTAATATTTCCAATAAGCAAAATAATTTGCTGCATTTCAAAAGTAATTTAAATTGACTGAAAGTAGTTTTCGTTTTGAAATTGCTAAAATAGCTGATTTTAGCGCCATTTTCAGCCATCCGTCATTTTAATGTAATTCTCTTTATTAAAAATGTTTCAAAAATAAAACATGCATTTCTGAAAGTTTATTTGAGCAATATTAGCAGAGTTAAAGTTTAATTAATCTGATTTAAAATAAATATTACTTACTTTAGGTTTAAAATATCGCAGAAAATCATTTTTAACACGGCAGTAGCTGTTTATTTAAGGTGTTGACAGGTTGACTGACAGACGGAGGTCTATCCAATTTTTTTCTACGGTGAATATATCTGTAAAATTTAGTTGTGGGATATAATGTGGGCGCTTTTTTTAATATAATTTTTAACTACTCAGTATTCTTAAAAATTCAGGAAAATATTCTCCGTAATATAATATTTTATTGAATGTTAGATACATTGGCGTTAAATTTACTATAGATATCGTTCTTATTTTCTGAATAATGTCGTGTGTGAACGTCCGTATTTACAAAAATCGGCACGTTTATATACATTCAAAAAAAAAACACACAAAAAAACTAAATTATTTTAAAAAAATATAGGGGTTGCTAAATTGTAATTTAGCCTTTCCATTTATGATTAGTAAATATAGTTTTTACTTAATAACAATATCACTTAACCGGTACAAATTAAGACAGAACTTTAAAAGATTCAAAACTTTATAAATTATTCGAATTAAAATTAAAAAAACAAAACAAATGAAAACAATTCTTGTAAAAATTCATTTTTCATCGAATTCATCGTGTCTACACTATATGTTATTCATAAAAGCAGTTTCTAATGAAGTAATGTCTTATTTTTATTCCATTTTTTTATTTTAGGAATCAGAGCAGATTTTCGGTAACTGTGGTTAGTGTTTTACAAAAAGACATTTAGGATTGAAATTATGCAAGGAGTTCAGCTTTTAACTAATATCTAATTTAACTAATTAAGCAGATCAAAATTTAATTGCTCGAAATTCCATAAAATCAAATAAGTCGGGGTAACAGATGTAAAAAAAATATTTGTTAAATAATTTCATTAATTTGTGAAAGTTTCATTAAAATCCGACAATTATTTACTTTTTGCAAGAATTTCGAAGTCGGTGTGTTTTTCAACGCAAAAACGACGCTAAAATTTCCTATACTCATTTTTGCTGACGGGACGCAAAAAACAAGATTTCTAACCAAAATTTCGAACGTTTTAAAAAGGTCCCAAAATATAATTTAATAATCAAAAAATCCTTTGGTACTTTCTCTTAATAATAACATAAAGATTTTGACGATAAAACTGTTTTTATTATGTTTGGGGCATTTTTTTCAGCATTTTTAGTTAATCAGTGGTGGTACATACACACACACACACACAAACACACACACACACATATATTCATACGAACAACACCCTCTATGTAAGATCTTTAATAGGAAAACGATTAAAATTAGCTACTCCTGTACCAATAACTATATTTTAAGTAATTTCTATGGGCTAAACAACAAATCTGTTATTGAACCCGCTTGTAATTGTAGATATAAAGAAAATTGTCCAGTTGAAGGCAAATGAAGATCTACTAGGGTTATATACCAAGCAACCATTACCCCCAAAGAAAATATGAAAAATCATAATGTTTACATTGGAATTTCCGCAGGGGAATGGAAACAGAGATTTTATATCAATAGGCACACTTCTACCAACCCTAAATTAAAACACCAGAGAGCTCTTTCAAAAAATTTGGGGAATTGAAGGAGAAAGGTCTGAACCCACAGATAGACTGGAAGATTATAGGTTCCCCACATACTCCTGGAGATAATTGTAACTTATGTTTACGAGAAAACATTATAATAATAAAATACAATAATCAAAGCAAGCTATTGAATCGAAGGCATGAATTAGTATTAAAATGTCGACATAAAAATAAATTAAAATTCCCATAATATAGATTTTACTATATTAGCCACTATATTTCTCTAACTCTACAAATGTCGAATGTATAACTAATTCTAATTTATATTTTTACAGCATATTAATTATATCTTATCATTGTCCCCCTGTTCTAACAACTCTTTTCCTTTTATCACTTGCATCATCTCTTTATCTATATATTTTAAGCCTTTTTAAAATATAATTTTATATTTTTATTTTTTTAAAATATAACTTATTTTTATTTTAAAATTTTTTTTATATTTTTTTATTCTTTAATATAACAATTTTTTATCAATTATAATTTTTAAATATAATCTTACTTAATTTTAATATAACTGAACTAAATATAACTTAGTTTTAATTTATTAAATATATTTTAATTTTAAGTATAATTAATCTTTGGAAGAGTATTTTTAAGTCGGAACTTGTATTTTTAAACTTAATCTTATCTATGTAATTAAAAAAAAAATTTTTCATTCCTCTCTTAGTTTCAAATCAATACCTCATTCTTCATATAACCCCAATTTAATGTCATAAGGTTAATATCCGGGTTTAATTTTATAAAACCTCTTCCCTTTAAGGATAATACCTTCCATCCTCCCCTGACCACTATCTCGTTCCTTTAGTCTGACTGAAACATTGAAATGGATAAATTCTGTATTAAATTTTCTACAGCTGTCAAAGTTAAATTTCTAATTCCGAACAAACTCAGTCTATAGACCGGGGTTGAATAAGATTGACGAAGTTTTCATCGGTTGAAATATGTCTATAGCCCATATTAGGTAATTTTGGATTTTATGATTTACTAATATATATATATATATATATATATATATATATATATATATATATATAGTGTAATAAATATATATAAACTATCATATACAGAAACATTTAGTGCTATATGTGTGTATATATCCACATGTGTATATACACAAATTTCTTTTCCATTATCGTATTTTTTGTGCGCACACACACACACACACACACACACACATACATACATATATATATATATATATATATATATATATATATATATATATATATATATATATATATCAGTGTGCATGAGAAAACTGTCTGTAACAGGAGGTAAGGAGTACATTAGACAAGTATAGCAGCCTTCGACATTGTGAATTTGCACCTGCGTCACGTTTTTCTCACGTTATCTCGCGCGTTGATAACACAAGACTGATATAACTACACTGCCATTGACGGCACAACTGATAATAGGAGACCTCTGACGGTTGACAGCACAGATGCGCTCGTATTTAAGTCAACATTGGCGCCAAACCTTTCACCACGATTTTTAACCATATTAGCTTCGAGGATTGTCTGACTTTAGCCTTAAATGCGCATAGGACGAACTGGTTTTTATATTAAACGAAATTTGTAAATAAGACGTCAGTTTATATTGGCTGATAGATAGAAAAGATATTTACATATTGTTTTAGGTAATGTTTATATATATATTTTACATAGAAATATACGAAAAATATTCTATAGTATTTTAAACGAATTCTTAAATGTACTGTTCCCGTGAGAACGTAGGCGGTCATGGTTCACCACAACTTCCTATCTTTTGAAGCTCTTAGTAATGTTTGTCTTTATATTATCTCTCTCTCATTTGTTGTTCTGCAGTCCACTTAGACAATATTGTTAGGTAAGTTACATGCTATTTCCTTCTGCCTCTCTTCTTTTTTATGTCCCGTGAGGGTCACATTTTCAAAGATTTCTTTTCTCATCATGTATCCCAGTAATTTAGAAATAGGAATAAAATATTACATCGAATTTTAAAAGAATTATAGTTGAATTTTACATAGAAATACAGATAAAAGATTATATAGTATTTTAAAATAATTGTAGTTTGAATTTTGCAAAGAAATTTAGATGAAATAAACAAAATTTATAGATCATGGCACTTTTGATGCATCCTCAACTGTGACCATCAAATTCGCAATGATTCAAAGAATAGATTATTTCTATCGTCTGAGGGATTTTCGCAAAACGTTGCATAACCCACATTTATTGACTTCCGCGTCCATTCTATTTAGATTGTGCACCATACAATTTCTAGCTATGTGGTAGGGTGGGTTAGAATGCGGACGAGATTAAGGAGAACTGACGAGACAGCTAATGCGGAACCCGAAAGAGGACTTCCACACGTTGAAAAGTGGAAGCGATTCTGGCAAGGCCTGATTTAGGCCTTAAGAAGCTCCTGGGCTAATAAAATTTGTAGGTCGGCCCCCGTGTCTATAAAAAAAAAGATATCTTTTAGAATATTCTTTTTGGGTTTAAATTGTTTCAAATTAGTTTATAGGATCTCCATTATATCTGAAAATAAAAATAATCTCCTATGCTCTTTTATCTTTATTTTATTTTTAGTTTTATTAAGGGCCCAAAACTAGAAGACATTTAGGGGCCTCTCTAATTTTGTGGTCTCTGAGCTGCAGCCCATACTAGTTCATATGTAATTCAGACTGTGGATGCTGAGATAAGTGTGTGAAGTCTCAAGGCAAGTATACTGCAAGGGACAAAGGCCTAGACTTAATATGCATCCCAGTTTGTCTGGCAGTGCACTGTCTTGATGTGAGGGATCTGTCTCGGGGATATAAGCTATCAGTATTTGTTCGTTCCTTTGTGTGTGAGAGAGAGAGAGAGAGAGAGAGAGAGAGAGAGAGAGAGAGAGAGAGACCCCTGAGGCCTAAGTGATGTTGGATCACAGAAACACTTCATTATACAAGAAAACTAAAACTACAATAAAAATTGAAGTCCCAGTTTGAGGCTTGGAAATTATAGTAAGTCTTCTAAGGCACAAATTGTCTTTTTTCCGTTAATACTACCTGATTAGAGCATTTCCCGATAGACCTCACATACGCGTGTGAGCACATGCCCCCCCACACACAGAGACGAGCATGCATTTATATAAATAATTCTTTTCTTTGTAAATACAGATAATTAAGAATTGTTAGATGAACTGCATGTATCTTCCCTGGTCTGATGCTGACATTTCATGCTTTATATCTGTACAGAATTAAATATTTAAAAAAGTGGTGTGCTTTTCAAACTTGGCAAATGAAATTAATATCCTTGTAAAAATAGACAATACTGGACCGCACGACGATCCATTAAAACGTATACACTTAAGTAGTTTATTGTCATTAATAGCGTCTTTTCCACGTCTAAAGGGATGTTCAAAATTTATGATTTCCAAAACCATATTTCAAGAAAGTGTTTTAACATTTTATTAAGTAGGTTGAAAAAGTATCTATTTTAAACATTATATGTTTAGTTTGCAAAGTAATCTTGTCAATACACTTAATTCAATGATGAATACTAATCGCATAGACTGAAAATTAGACAGTGGAAATTTCGGATCAAAATTCAGTCAACTGACCCACCTTTATAGAGATATCATCAAGTGATATTTTATAATTCATAATCGAATTTCATAATTCTCATATGTAAACTGTATTTGATATGAAAAAGATGTGCAGATGTAATAGTCTTCGAATTTCTTAAATGGGGAATTGTCAAAGATCAGTTCGGTAAACTTTCGATTGAAAACAATTTCAAAAGGTTGCATATTTCGGCATATAATTATTTTCTTGTTACCAGAGACTTTTACCAGACAGAAAGAGAAATTATCCCTCGAGAGATATATGTGTATTTTAATGTTATTCAAATTGTGCATGTATATTTGCATGTGCACATGTATATTATAATTCAATGACAGTCCTAAAAATGTTTCTACAAGATTAAAAAAAAATATTAAGAAAATAATCCCATCTAGTTGTCTGTATGTGCACTCGCGTGTGTACGGTGTATGTGTGTGTCCTGCTAAAACTAAAAAAACAACAAACCAAAATAGTAATAACAAAGTGAATATGTATACAGATTCATTATCACCCAAGCCAGTTTTTTTCAAAAAAAAATTATCGTCGTGTGATTTGTATTTTCGAAGATATTTTAAAATTAAAATGCATTCGAAATTCTCAGAATTAAAAAGTAAAAACGAACGGTAATAATTCTTATTCCAGATTAGGATTACCGTTCGGTTTTACTTTTTTTTTTATTCGGCTAAACACTATGCATGCATGTATTTTTAAAATTTCTATTATCTTTAATTTATTCTCACATCTGTAGCAAATAAAAGCGTAACTTAAAAAAATGAATATTAAAACAACAAAGTAAATTTAAAAGAAGATTATTAAATATAAGTACCTGATTATTTATTTATTTATTCAAATATGTATGTGTATGTGTGTGTGTGTGTTTGTGTGTGTGTGTGTATTATTGATACTTTTTAATAAATAATTTTTTTATTCAATCTTTAAAAAATAAACTTTATTGTTTCTTTTTAAGTTTGTAACTAACATAAAAAAGTAAATAATTTCCAATTAAGTTTTATTAAAGTAAAAACCATAGCGAGCCTTAGTTTTTTGAGAATTAATTTCAATAAAATATAGTTAAATTTGTAAAACAAATATTCAACATGACTGATGTTGGCCGTAAGTAATGTCTATCCCTGCTAATTTTCCTTTAACTAAAGTTTTTTTTCTTTTCAAATACAAATATAACTTGAAATTTAAACATAATAGCTTTTCAAAACTAAATTCTCAATGTTTTATGTTACTACACTCTTTCAAAATAGTAATTAATGTTTAAAAGTAAAATTTTATTTACTTAAAAAATCTAAATTCCGCTCCAAGATAAATAGTAAATAATTATTTTTCGAAGAAGTAAGGCTCGCTATAGCATTTGCTTGAAAAAATGATTAAATTAAATAGGTTTAAATATATCTTAGTTCAAGTTTATTAACTTTTTTATTAATAATAATTTGAAGAAAGGTTAATGAACTTTTATCTAAGTTTGATTTGTTTGAAAACAATATTAACAGAGTATTTATGTTAGTATTTAAATCGAAAGATAAAGTATCGTTTTGAATAAAAAATAAGTGGATGCACAACTACCTAAGACCCCTCCCTCTCCCGAGCGTGGTATTGGTAGTGTGGTATTTTCCTAAATTTAGTTATTTTGTAACAAACCAAAATAAAAATAAGATTGAATAAAAAATTATTTTCAATAAGATGGCTGAAAAATATCAATAAATTGTCAATAAATAACTATTATTCAGAGATCTTCCGAGCAACGCCGGGTGTCCTCGCTAGTTACCGAATAATTCTCGAAAATTTCTCGAAAATTATATAATTACCTGATGTTAAAACATCAGGTAATTATATAAAAAAATAATTTTTCCCAACTTTGTGATTTTATTGACAACCCAGGGTAGAGGTTGTCCAGACTGGGTGGGAGTATTATTCGAATGTCTTTTCTAAAACTAAGTCAGATGGTGTGTATCTGTGTGTGCGCGTGCTTGTGTGTATATTAAATGGCACAAACACATGTAAGTTACTCACGCACAAAATAGACATGCGCACAAAACATGAAAATCGCACACAGACTGTGTGTGACGGGCAAAGAATCAATAGGTTGTCATGAAAACAACACCAGCTTTCTAAGAATAAGGGATGCGAATTTTTTATTTCTGATTCGTACTGTTTATTGAACGATCATAAAATAACGATTTAAGAGTTGCGTCTAAAAGAAAGAGAAATAAGACGAAATGAATTAATAGAAAAAAAAAATAACTGATCCAATGAACTTATGGAATTGTCCTAGTTTTTCTTTCATCTTATTTCTATTGCTTTCCAACGCAGCTCTAAGATCGTTATTCTAGGCAGCATAGATTAGAATTTAAAAAAAAAAGAAAAGCCTCAATTGTCGAAATTTAAATTAGCCACTCTTATGCTTGGATCCCGACTTAGTATGATAGCAATTTACTGATTAGGCTACAAAGTTTCCACCAAAAGTCATAGAGAAATATTCTATATTCTTTCCTTCTCTGACCTCCAATGTGTTGACAGATTTTTTAAATTTACATTTGTAGTATTTGAGGTGAAAGCTTTTTAATTTCTTAGATTCGCACAATTATTAAAATTCCCTAGTATTTCTTCCAGCTTATTTCTGATTATTTGTAAGGCATCCTCGTATGGAGGGGAAATTCTCCCGAGAAATGTCATGAAAAACCCAGAATGATTCTTTAACGGTTTCCGAGACCAGGGTATAATTTGCATTTTTAAAAAGTTTTGTAAATGCAATTGATAAAGTCTCTTAAAAAGACTGTATGTTTAACTCATTATAAATAACAGAAAAATTTCCAATATTAATTTACTTGAGTAAAGTGAAGGTTAGAAGGCTTGTATTGCGTTAGTTTTCCAAGTGGGGGAGCATTCTTTGAAGATCGGCTTTCGAGATCCTAGAACGATTTTGTAAACTTATGGCCTTGAGATTAATCTAAGCTTATTAAATATATATATATATATATATATATATATATATATATATATATATATATATATATATATATATTCATATATATATATATATTTATACTTATATTCATTTTACTTAATTTTAGAGTGATACGAGATCTATGTGCTTTGCCAGTTTTTCTTGCTTTAAAGATAAGCCCAGTACCCAAATATTTCGCATCAAGGGAATTGAGAAGGCGTAGTGATGAAAACAAGAATGAAAATGCGCACTGGAAATTTGGATCATCTTTATTAGATAGATAGATAGATAGATAGATAGATAGATAGATAGATAGATAGATAGATAGATAGATAGATAGATAGATAAGTTTTCCACTTTGGTATCTAGTCGTTATGAATTTAAGCGTACTACTAGATTGGCGGCAATATCTCATCATCTTAAAGCCGAAAAGGCGAGATGTAACTTTAAAGTTCTTTCTATTCGAACAATTTCTTCTCTTGTGGTAAATTTAGATCGGTCATCGATGATATGTTAATTTTGGACAAAGGGGGTTTATTACAAAAAATTACAACACATCATCGTTGGCCGATCTAAATTTACCAAATTAAACAACAAACATGTAACATCAAAGAATGCCGACGTAGCCTCCTTGAAAATTAAGAAAATCATCGGAGATTACAAACCAGGAATCGCAGTGACTTGTCAGTCATCTTTAACAAAACTTGTATAAAAGAGGGATTGCTGCTCAAATACACAACATATATATATATATATATATATATATATATATATATATATATATATATGAAGAAAAATATACGGAAAAAACAAACAAAAAATTTTAATATGCAATTATGCTGTTTTAATGTTAATATAATGTCAACATCGGACGTTTCGGTCTAGTAGACCATCTTTCATAAAACATAATTAACATTAGACTATATTTAATTCAACATGAAAAACGATGGACATAAGGTAAAGACTAATCAAAACAGACAACTGAAATTTTTCAAGATCAGCGTTCCGTTTTGATTAGTCTTACTCTTATGTCCATCGTCTTTTCATGTTGAATTAAATATAGTCTAATGTTAATTATGTTTGTTTTTTCCGTATATTTTTCTTCATACTGTCGGGTCTATATCCATATATTTATATATATATATATATATATATATATATATATATATAGAGAGAGAGAGAGAGAGAGAGAGTGAAGATAGATAGATGTTAGCATAAAGGTTATATTTCGGGGGTACACATGTTTGATAAGGCAGTCCTGTTTTTTAATCGATCTAGAGATCAAAAGTCTTAATAAAGGAAATGTACCTTCCAACAGGAAGTAAACGATCAGGAAAACCGCTCTCAACCCCAGCGTACTTTATCATTAAGCCACGACAAGCCATTGCAGGAAAGCAAAGTTCATTTACCTGACGTAAGAAAGCACATCTCTCGTTGGAACATTTCGAAGGCTATATCTGGTAACTTTACCTTTATATATATGAAGGAAGATGAAAAATTCTTGGGCATATCAACTTTCTAAAATATAACCAGATGATCAAAGATTAGAATTTCTTACAGAAGCGCATTTCTGTCCCCTTATATATATATATATATATATATATATATATATATATATATATATATATATATATAATTATTGGTCAAGGTTAAATTAGAACAGGAAACATTTGTATTAAAAAGTGCTCAATACATATATAAAGAAAATTAAAATTTAACGTGCAGAGCTTTTTAAGTTTAAAAATTAGAGATCAGCCAATTGGCTGATGTCGTTTTTGAATATATATATATATATATATATATATATATATATAGAGAGAGAGAGAGGGAGGGAGAGAGAGAGAGGGAGAGAGAGAAAGCGTGGGGGTGACAGGCAGACAGACAGACAGACAGTGTGGATCTACATTACGTAGTAATTCAGTTTTAGGCCTCAAATGATTTTCAGACCATGTAGCGTGAAACTGACAGTCACCATGCAGTGTTGATTTTTATGTCCATACCATCTATAACTATAAACATTCTCTCCATTGCCACATTTTATACTATATAAAGAGTGCGAGATAGAGCGAAAGGAAATGGAGAGAGGGAAAGTAAGAAAGATGACGAACAGGTGATGTAGATACAAACAGGCGGAGAAGTTGAAACTGTTCGAGGTAGCTAGATATAAATGAGCATAGATAGATATGAATAGATACAGATAGATAAATATGAAAAGAGTGATATATATGAACAGAATCGAGAAGGCAGGCCGACAGATAGAAAAGATATGGACTAAGAAACGATATAGACTATCGTGTTGTAACATGACCCCTAAGTATTTCCCATAGCAGTAATCTATTTGCATCGTTGTGCCTGTTGGGCAGCCGGGGTGTCTATCCTTCGCCTTCTGAAAGCGAGCCTCTCAACCTCGATATCTTATCGTGTCAGGATATGCGTCAATGTCTTATCTTATTCTATTACCAAAGCCTGCGTAGTTATGCATGGCTGAACAAATGGCGGGCTATACTCTTAACAATAAAAGCATGCCTAAAAACACAGGAGGTTCAACTTTAGCTTTAAATTCGTACACATAAGAAATCTGGGCGTCTACTGTAGAGTGATGATAGGCTAATCGAGAAATCTGTAAAATCGATCCCCGTGGCGTGCTCCACTTTTGAAACCTTGTTACAGATGATGATTTTTTAAGCGTAGCTTAGATGTACCACAAGGCCTAAAGTATGGGGCACCCAATGAGGATCAAACTCACTATTCAGTCGTAATTGATCTAGCGAGACAAGGCTTGCTAACCATTACACCGCATCGAAGTGTTCAAAAACTTTGTTATAGATGAGGCTAAGTTAAGGAAATTTACACGTCATCCAACGATTTTATTAGAAGCGTTAATGATGATGTGACTTTCCTTGCATACGTATCACTATTTTCAATGTGTAGCTTAAACAGCGATTAAACAGCGATTAACATGTTACAACGATTAGCATATACTGATCGCTTGTATCAGATCGCTGAAAAGTGAGTCTTAAACTTTGCGGTCACCTCACCAAATTTAAGACTCACTTTTCAACGATCTGATATAAACGATCAGTATATGCTAATCATTGTAACATGTTAATCGCTCGGAAAATACTTACTCGGTTCAACCGGTAGAGACACTGTGTCGATTATAGGACCAGAACTTAACCGCGTTAGGTGGTGCTACTGTGGCTTCGTATCACATAAGTTGCTAGACTCACGCCAAACTAGATTTGAAATCAGAATGGCCTTTATATATTTCCCAAGTGCGAAAGTGAACGCAATAACCTCGACTAGAATCTGAACTCCGCTCGCCGATTACACTTTCAGCGCCGATAATCGCTATGCGTACATCTAGAAATGTATGTATGTATGTATGTAAATCACACGGAAACAAAAAGAGTAATGAGACGATAATAAACACACACATAATAAACAGATAAAATAAGTCAACACATAAGACAGTGGGGGGGGGTCATACTCAGTTTGACGAAGAACACAACCAACCGCGAGAACTGATACGAAAAAATATTAAGCTGAGCGTAATCCGAGCAAAAAAAAAAAAAAAAATTAAATTAGGACATTTAGTGAGGATTGAACTACCAACGTTTTACTTCAATTTCCATAAAGGTGCCGTAAAGCGATGTCTTCTGAGAAGTGATGATTACCGAGATAGACACACAGGCCATTGTAAAGTTCAAACATTCATTCAGTCACTATTTACATTGTTCGGACTATCATCCTCACCTTTGTTGCCATATTTATCACAATGTTTCGTTGTACGCTCCGGCCCACTTCAGGTGGTTGGAATGTCGAACTGAACCCTTTATTTCGCTCGCTGGGGTAGACTGTTCTAGTTCCACGTACCGTGTCTAATGGATGTCAGTTTTCTCCTGTTAATTCTCCTCTCCAAGTTCTCCACCGCCTTAACCAGGAATTGAATTCACACTCTTTGTGTCCTGTCACAGGATCTAACTAACAGCTTTATCTACTGTGCCATGTGTCCTTGAGACCATCTGTGTATGAATTTTTGGGTATTTTGATTAGCTTTTGGGAGTCTATTCGGGCCAGTCAGTTATGTGCCATGCGTGATACACGCTTAGGCGATCATGTATCTTTCGATAAATGACTGACGATGCAGATTTTTTCCTGCAGTAGGTTGCCATTTCTTTCTGCGGTAGACCAGTTGCCATCCAAAGTTATAGAACCTGGTGTTTACTGCTATTTACCCATAGCTTGGGTGGGGAGAAGATGAGGATTCAGACCTTTCCCAATAAGTATTAGCACGTCTCCTTTATTTCAACTTTGTGTCAGCTGATTATGTATTTGCAGTCCTATCGGTGTTCCGAGAATCATGTCCGCTCTCACTCTTAGTTACCAGGAAAGAGTTACGAGACTGCAGTTAAATTTCACGCCTGCCATATTGTGTGGTAGTCACATATATCCCTCGTGATCTTTCAGTTTTGTTAGTTTTTTTCTGCTTATTTTGCTGATTCTGGCAATGCGTTTGAAGCCGTAAACATTAGACTATACCAGAAAATAAATCGGTTGGGAAAATTGCCAGATGCGTTTTGAATTAGAACCAACATCATTAATTCGGGAAAAATCATGAATTCGACAGGGTTTTGGAACGTTAGCAACTAGACATTCACTGATAAGTTCTCGAGAATCGTTTCGTTAAGAATATCTGGAGTAGTCAAAAATACTAGGTGTGTGCAAATGTTCCCAGATTCCTCTGCTTGAAAAATAGAGAATTAACACAACAAAAAATACTTTTAACCTATTAATACTGACTTCGGTGGTTGAAAAATAACTCCACGTTTATTTTAAAATAGGGAGTTACTTTTCAGTTACCCTGTATAAAATCGGTATTAATTCAGTCAGTTATGTGCCATGCGTGATACACGCTTAGGCGATCATGTATCTTTTAAATAAATGACTGACGAGGCAGGTTATTTTCCTGCAGTAGGTTGCCATTTCTTTTTGTGGTAGACCAGTTGCCATCCAAGGCTATAGAACCCGGTCTGGCCTGCTTTATGCACATAGCTTTGGGATTACTCCACCGCGCCACCTAGTAATAATTATAAAAGTAAAATAAAAACCCAATATTAATATATTTGATTTATTGATTTTTTTACGGCTTATCAACCCATTGCAGGTTATTTAAAGCCAACAAATATTTTTCGATAGTAAGAATTTCGTGGGGATGGAGGGGGGAGAGATAATAATGGTTTTAGTAATACAAGTCTTACTAATTAACCCATAGCAGGGGAGGAAAAATGTGAATTCATAGATTTCCCAAAAGAGTTTGCACGTAAATGAATATAACGAACCCAACGGGGACTGAAACTTGGCTGCCCGATTAGCAGTTCCGAGCCATTAATCATTACATTTCCTGCACATCCACCATTACAGCATTTAGTCACTCATCTACGTACTGACCAGGCTCGACGTTGCTTATCTTCATTGATTGTACAGGAAACGGTGTTTCAGCGTGAGGTGGCCGTAAGCCGGTATTAATTTTAGGTTTCCAATCCATTCATGTCCACCATCACCAAAGTGGGATGGTGGGCATTTCTTTTTCTAGGTGTTGTTTCCCTTCAGGATATTGGCTCTCATAACTCTCCACAACTTCTTATCATCTGTAACTCTTAGTAGTCTTTTTACTCCAGCTGTCTCTCACTGTTCGGTCATCCATTTACAAAGGTTCGTTAGGTCGGTAACTCGTTGCTTTCCTCTCTCCCTCTTACCTTAAATATATCCTGTGAGTTTTAAAATTTCGCTCTCATGACCTCTCGCCGGTGACCAGTTCCCCGTACAGTAACTCCTCTCCCTCCTTTTTTTTTTAATTGTGCCCCACAAATTTCAACTGTATCTTCCTGATTTTATGAATAACTGTCATTTTTGTTTCCATTTTCCTTAAAACTTCCTTGTTACTCAGATGCAACGTCTATGGTATTTTCAGCATCCATCTTTGTTTCTAACAAAATTTTCCTGTTTCTTAATACTTTACTTAGCTTTTGAAAAACATATTTTAATATCGCAATACGCCTTTGGATTTCAGTGTCGGTTAGGTATGTTACTCGGTGTTTTCGCCTGTCTCTCTTTCCTTCAGTATGTCAAATTCTCCATGCCCGCTTTCTTCAGTGTGTGTCCTTGAAATTTCAAATGTCTCTTTCTGATTCTAAGTTTCCTGTTTGTTTCTGTTATTTCTGTTGCTTACATGAAAAAATAAAAAAAACATGTAAAAAAAATTAACAGCTCTCATAGGAAATATTGAAAGGAAATGTCTAATCACCCACCTAACGAGGTTGCGTAAATGAATATCAGAAGAGGGATTGAGAAGAGAAGTAAATGCACAAATCATTGCTTATAGCTACAAAGAGCAGGAAATTGTAAATAGCCCTGAAGGGATACGGTACGTAAAAGAAATTTATTGAACAACATATCTACAAATTTGTTGCATCCCCTTCTGTCAATTTTCAGGCAACTTAAAAATTCCATTCTCCCAGAACTTATCTTTCTTGGCAAATAACTGTTCTTCTATGGAACTTCATGGGTTTTTCTTCATTAAAAGAATTCTGTAGAGACAAAAATAAGCGTTTATACGAAGGCGTGATATCTGGTGATTATGATACAGGAATGAAAACTTGCCTGCTACACTGACACAATTTTTGCCTGGTCACAAAGAAACATGTGGTCTATTATTATCCTGATGGAATGTGCGCGCGTGTGTGCTTGAGGAGGTGCTGAAAAGTTCTTTGCTTGACCCAATTCCCAATACAGTGTCTTGTTACGATGATAGTAGTGGTGACGATAGACCTAAATTGTAATTTCTTGATTGCATGTCAAAAAATGTTCTTATTGTTATGGGGTCCTCCCCTTTTTCATATAAGTGGACTCGACCAGAGTGTTACTTGGACTGCTGCCGTTAAATACCCAGAGTCAATCAGAATAGAGAGAGAGAGAGAGAGAGAGAGAGAGAGAGAGAGAGAGAGAGAGAGAGAGAGAGAGAGAGAGTCACAGTTACAAGCACGTAGGGCACCTCGAGGTGGTGTAATGGTTAGCAAGCTTTTCTGGCTAGAACAATTACGACTGAGTAGTGAGTTTGATCCTCACTGGGTGCCTCATACTTTCGGACTTGTGCCACATCTAAGCTACGCTTGGAAAATCATCAGTTACAAGCACGTAGACTCTAAGGAAGTCCTACTTCGAGACTATATATATATATATATATATATATATATTAACAGCGTTCCTGGATTTACTAACAGTATTACCCATTGTATTATTGTGTAAATACATTTAATTTCTTATCTTTAATTCTTGCGTTTGTCATTCATTGGAGACCGAATTTCATCTCAGAATCCACAACAATTATAAGGGAACATCTTTTGATGATGATTTTATACTTTTATTCTTTCTTTATTTATTCATTGATTTTTATTATCATTTAAAATATATATAATTATAATTTTAAAGTGGTACACTTGACGAACTCTTTATTCCGACATTATATATATATATATATATATATATATATATATATATATATATATATATATATATATATATATATATATGTGTGTGTGTGTGTGTGTGTGTGTGTGTTAATGCGGGTATATATATATTTCGGTAGATGGAACTCGTCAGCCCTGGAGAGTAATCCATCTGAGAGAAGGAAAACTCTTATTTTAAACCTCTGCTGCCTTGCGGCCATCCCCAATCATGGGAATGGCCTCGAGAGTAAACCTTGACGACAAATCCGGAGTCGGAGTCCCTAAGACGACGGTTCGATGTTGTGTTCAACTTAGTTCTGACAACTCCTGCAACGACGCCTGTGCCAAGTTGTATTGACCGCTACCTTCCCCTTGTACAACATCGGTGGCGTGGAGAGGGGAGACGTGCTGCATGGGCGAATGCCGATCTCTCATGTAACCCTGGCCAGGCTTGCGCCCTGGAGAGGAGTTACTATACGGCGAAATGGTCACCGGCGAGAGGGCATGAGATCGACCTCATCTTCGCTTCAAGGACGCCTGCAAAAGGGACATGAGAGCGATGGACACCGAGAGGTAAGAAATCATCAACGATCGCTCACGCTGGAGCCACGATTTACATCGAGGGTTGGAGTTAAGAGAAAAAACGTAGGCTTGTCGTCGGGGAGAAGTGTACTCGATGGAAAGAAAACAACACGGCGACATCGTGGGGAGAGCGTCTTCACATGCATTTCTTGCAGTCGAGACTGTCACTCCCGTGTGGGCCTCTACATCCATAATAGATACTGCGCCCCCATCAGCAGCCGAGGCATATCTCTTTGGGCACAGATCCAGGGTCTCTCGAGACCGACGGATGCCACATATAGTGAATATAACAATTTTAGTTCGACTGATACACGAGTAAATAAACTAGTTTAATTTCATGAACAGTCATGTTTTTTTTTATATCTTTTTATATCTTACGTACACTACATCCACTATAGTCGTCGTTCTTTTTCTTTTTGTTCTTCTTATTGTGTTTCTTCAGTATCTTTCATATATCTAAGTAATGTTTGTCTTCTATTTTTCCCAGTCTATTCTCTGTCATCCATTTACTCAAAATCGTATGGTAGGCGATTTCAATCTACTAGCTCGATCTTCTGCAAGTGTCAAAAACCTCTTTTCTAATTATATGTGCCAGAAATGTCAACTGTCTCTTTATGATCCTAGACACAAGTGTCTTTTTCTTTCCAATTTTCTGTAAAACTTCCTCGTTGGTTACATAATCTGTTGATGGTATTCTTAGAATTTATCTGTAGAACCACATTTCTGTCAGCTAAAGTCTTCTCTTCATCTGTGAGGAAGTTTTCCAGCATTCACTGGTATATAGAAAGTACAGCATTCTTTTATTTTATTTATCAATTTAATAGATATTTGCTTAATTTCATGGAATTGGTGAAAGAATTAAGCATGCAGTTTCTCCAATGAATATCTATCATATTGTTATGGGGCTCTCCTCTTTTTACATAAGATGGACTCGTCCAAAGTATACTTATACTGACAGAGAGAATACCTGCGGTTGAGATACATTGAGATATGTGGAGATACGTTGAGACAGGTTGAGAGATACGGAGACAGACACAGGGTGTTCTCAGAGAGTTATACAAGAGTATATATATATATATATATATATATATATATATATATATATATATATATATTACTGCTTTACTTACAGAGACTTGTACATATACTTTCTACTAACCGGCATTCCTGGACTACTAATCTTCACTTCAAGTCTGTATTCTTACGTTTAATACACTTATTTTTCTTATATGTGCCATATCCTCTCAGGACGTGGGTGATCATGGCTTTCCACAACTTCCTATCTTTTGTAGCTCTAAGCAATGTTTATCCCATGATTATCCTTTCCAGTCTCTGTTCCTCATTATGTGGTCCAGAAATGTCAACTCTTTCTGATCATATCTATAAGTGTCATATTTACTTCTGTTTTTCTTAAAACTTCCTTGTTGACCACATGTTACGTTCATGGTATTCTCAGCATTTTTAGTGCTCCTGAATTCAACAATGCTCAAAATTATAAATAACTACATATTTTTAAATTTGAAAACATCGAAATATTTGTTCTGTGATATGTAAAATTAAACAAAGTATATAAACGACAACTACAGCAACGCCCTCAAAAGGTAGTAAAGGAAAGCGAGAAGAAAGGACTAAACATCAACTGTAATCAAGTGTAAGAAGATGGAAACATGATTATTAGAAAAAGAAAAAATCCAACATGCAAATTACAAATTTGAGATTCTAGAATTAAACATGTGCAAAAATATAAATATATTGGAAGTGCTTAACAGAAGCGCATTGGGATAGCGAAAAATGCCTTTCAAAAGTTAAGCAAAGTATAAAGAAACAGGAAAATTTCGTTGAAAACAAAGAGTATTGAACTGTTATGTAATATTGGTGCTCCTATATGGCGATGAATGCTGAACCATCTTATCACAAATGGAGAAAAGACTTGAGGAAACAAAAATGTGGTTCTACAGAAGGATGCTGAGAATATATTGGACACGTGTGCAATGACGAATTTTAAGAGAAAATGGAAGCAAAAAAGACACATACGTAGCATCAGAAAGAGATAGCTGAAATTTTTCATGGCACAGAGGGTTTGGAAAATTTAATACTCGCAGAGCATATTGAAGGCAAGAGGGACAAGCAGCAAATAGCCTATCGAACAAGGTTGTGTAAATGGTTGGCAGAACAATGACTAGGAGATATAGCAAAAAGACAAACTTTGATAAGGGCTAAAAAGGACGTGAAGTTGCGGAGAGCCATGATCGCCTAAGCTCTGGAGGGACACGATATAAAGAAGAAGAAGAAGAACAACAACAACATCGACAATAACAACAGCGACGACGACAACAGCGATCTTGTTTAAATGGTTGGCAGAATAGGGTTTAGAAGAGATAGCAAAAATACAAACTTTAATAAGAGAGCCTTGAAAAAAAACTGATTTTGATATTTTATCCTTAGATTATTTTAACTTCAACCTATAATAATTATGAAATTTTCTCTTTGAGAAAATCTGTCTGTAATATTAAACGCAGATAAAGTGCTACAGTTCTTGTTCTGAGGAGTTTGCCTACACATGGATAAAAAAGAATTTTATTTTTCCCAGGTGAAGTAATTTTTAAAGCCCTTATTTGCCCTTGCGATATTATCCTTGAAACGATAAAGTGATAAATGTGACCATTATCACTGAAAATTTAGAATCTTGTCGTTAGATTTAAAACTGTCTCACGGGAGCACGCTATTAGTTCTCATTAGGTCGAAAGCCCCAAAAGAGTGCTTACTTCACTCAGAACCGGAAGTCCTTTTCGCGCATGTGTAAATAATCATATTTAGTAGCGAGCCAGTTATAATAATAGCAAGTTTTATGTGCAATGCGAGGTTTATGGTGTCTACTTGTATAAACCTTACTAATGACACGTCTGCGTAAAAAATCAAGATTTTACATTAATCCTGGATATAATCAAGAGCCGATAAATTTTAATTCCGAATTTGCTTTTCGAGTAACAGACGAGAACAGATGTATTCATTAATTTTTATTAGATGTATAACTAGTAAGCATTACAGTGAATGTGCTTATTTGTATAATGTGCAATGGCAAATGTAGTTACTAATGCTAGCGTGTATACACATAAATTGTATACATTTAAAATTCTTCTAAGTATCATATATCTTTTTGACGTGTGGGTTCATAGCTCCCTATAATTTAGATACATCCACCAATTTTCGATACCTAAAGTTTAAAATGAATTTTAAAAAATGAAAAAGTATTCTTGAAGCTTTCTTTTTAACTTTAATTGAAAGCCAAAAGATTAAATTTACTATTTACAGTAAGGAAAATACTCTGGTGTATTTCAAATAGAATTTATATTGATTGGAATTTCAACTTTTTGGTCGCTTTCAGTAAAGTCAGTAAAATCGGACATTTTGGACACATTTTGATACATCTGTAAACAAAAGTTAATTCTCGGACTCAAAAATCTTCCAAAAATAAAATATACTTTTCTGAAACTTTATTTGAGAAATATTAACTGATTTAAAGTATAATTAATCCGTTTTGAATAAATATTAATTACTTTAAGTTTAAAATAACAGAGAAATGGATTTTAAAAACAAACAGTAGCGGTGATTACGTGCTTGTCACCGCTGGAAAATCACTCCATAAGTGATTCTGAAGGTGTTGAAACATTTATTATTGTTCTAAGGAGACTTTATCTGTTAAAACATAATTTAAGAAAATGACGGGTGAGCGCGTTTTTTATATAATTTTTAAGTATTCAGTAATCTTAAAAATGTCGTGAAATTTTCTCCATAATCTAATTTTAGCAATGTTGATTTTAAATTTACTATCGTCATCGCTCTTATTTTCTGATAATGTCGTGTATGGTCGATCATTACTTTCAAACGTAATATTTTATATGAATATCAAATTAAAATTATTTAAAAAAAATCTTGAAACAAAATACTTTGTATTAAGCATTTC